CTCCCGGGGGCCGTCCCCGCTGCCCGGCCGGTGCTGCCACGCACCCGTGTGCTGAACTCGCCGCCAGCGGGCGCCCCAAGCGGAATTGCTGGGCCACGTGGCCGCTCTGTGTCCGAGGCGGCAGAGGGGACGCCCCTCTGGGCAGCCCCTCCCCCGGGCCCTCTCGCTCCCCTGCCAGGGTGGCACCGGCTCGTCCGCTGAGCGCAGAGGTCGGGGCGCTGAGCAGACTGGCCGGCTCGTGCTCGCTCTGCGCCGAGGCTGCCTGCGCGGGAGAGGCGGGGCCTCGCGGAGCGGGGTTTGGGGGTGGCAGCCTGCTTGTTGACGGCTGAGGAGGTGCTTGGGAGGCTGCTGGGGAGGAGGCTGCAGGCGCCGTGAGGGGGGCTCAGAAGGCGCAGGGGTGGGGCCAGGCGGCGCTCGGGGCGCAGCCTTCCTGGAGAAGGGGCCCGGGCCTGGGGGTCAGGGACCAGGACAGGAAGGGCCTGGAGTCGGGCCTCTAGTTCCTGGCTCTGCTGCTTCTCCCGGCCTCTGGAATGTCATGTTACAGCCGGAGCCAAGAGTTTTGTCGAGTCTTCTTGGAGCAACATTTGAAGAAACCGTGATAAAAAACAGGAGCAAGCTAACCCAGCGGCCATTCTTTCTTCCTAAACGTTTATTGTGCACAGAACTGGGGTGCAAGGGGTGAGAGGACACACCAGAGAAAGTGGGGAGCAGAGCAGGCAGGTGGATGAAGGACACTCCCGAGGGGGCAGCGGGGAGCCGGGAGGGGGCTGCTGCCCTGCAGCCACTCCCTGGCCAGGGCTGAACTCGCGCTGAAGGGGGGGCGGGGGGCGCCTCCGCCCTGCGCCATGCAGACTGCCCTCCTGCGCCCCGTCCGTTACGGGCACAGTTGCCTTCGGTTGCCAGATGCTGTCCTGCTCTTCTCCACTGAATGTGCTGGAACATTCCACTTGGTTTTTGCATTTGTCACAACTGTCCCTGAAACGTGTCTGCTCGCTCCCTCCCCTGGAAAGCCATTTTCCTGATGTCCACTGACAAACGGGGCCCAGGCCAGCCCATCGCCCTTCGTGAGGGCCCAGGGCTGAGAGTGGGCTCTGTGTTTGGAATGGTAGAAACAAATAAAAGAAGCTGGTATGTTGCGACATAGGACAATGTGGTGTCAGAGGCCGGCCTGGGCTGGCCGCGCCCCACACCCGTTCTCTGCCCGGTCGCCCGGGCAGCGGGCAGCCGTGCCATAGGAAACTGCGTGCTGATAGCAGGTGCGGCGCGGGGGGCGGCCAGCGTGGGTGCCAGCGGGAGGCCCCACTGAGGCTGGCGCCTTCTGGAAGCAGGTCGCGGGGTGACAGCGAGTAGGAGCACCCCAGGGCCCAGCGGGGCCCTGGGGCTGAGACGCCACCGCCCTTGTCCTGGCCCTGGGGCGGGCAGGGCCCAGCAGGGAGCTGGGTCAGCCTGGGCCCCCTGTGGCCTCAGGGAGGCAGCCCTGCCGCCCTGTTCCCGGCCCCTGGGCTGTCCAGAGGGCATGTGGGGGGGATGCTACTGTGTGGAGCCCCTGGGTCCCCCTCATCACCCTGTGCCCTCACTTCTTCAGGTTTCAGAATAGCATCTCGCCCCTGCTCTTGGGCTTGTGTGGTGCAACCTGGCACCGGCTTGAAGAGGGATGATTGTGGGGCTCCCTGGTACTCACGGCGGGCTGGGCCGGGCCGGGCTGGATTAGCTGAACGGAGCCCGGATGCCCCGGCCGCAGGCGCCGCGAGGTCCCCTGTGCCCTCCCTGTGGCCGCAGCACTCCCCGGCATCCAGTGCAGCGGCGAGCCGGGGCCTCCGCCGGCCATCTGTGCGCCAGCCAAGGCCGGCTCAGTCACAGGGGCCAGCGCAGCGGGCGCCTCCACCGGCAGGGCAAGACTGGCTCCCGCCCCTGGGAGCCAGGATGGGGGTGAGGCAGCCTTTCACTTGGGGGGGCGCCTCGGTGGGGCGGGGCTTCCGTGCGACCCCCCCACCCTGCTTCACGCCAGCCCTGGCACAGCCTGGCTGAGCCCCCCTGGGCCAGGTGAGCAGCCCTAGGTGTGGTGGCCTGAACCTGGGGCAGGGCTTGTCTGGGCGGGGCGAAGGCGGGGCCTCCCCGGGTGGGGCGGGGCCTCCCCAGGCAGGGCGGGGCCTTCTGGGCAGGGCTCTCTTGGGAGGGGCCTGTGTTGAGGGGGCGGGGCTTGCCTGGGGGCGGGGCTTCTCCAGGGTCCCACTCTGCTCCCTCTCCCTGCACCAGCAGGAGCAAAGTGACTCAGTGGCGCACCAGCTGGGGTCACTCGTGGAGGGCACGTGTGGGCGTCACCACGCTGGAGTGGAGTGGGTGGCCGGAGGCGGTGGGCTCAGAGGCGCCGGGTCACATGGCGGGTCCTCTGGCTCCCTAGTGGTCCGTGGCCCTCACACTCCACTGCCGCGTGACTTTGCTGCCCGCTGAGGGGACGGCCGTTTCTGCCCTCCGAGGCTCCCTCTCCCGCATGCTCCTGGCTTTCCCCACCACACTGCAGAGAGCTGGTCGGGCTTGGCAGAAGGGGCAGGAAGGGGCCTCTGGGGCAGCCAGAGTGGTGTCCTCCTAACAGCCCACTGCTCCCTCGGCCTCCCCGGCACTGGCCCCCCTGGTCACTGCCTCCCCTGGTCACCTGGACTGGGCCTGGAGGGGTGGCGCCCCTTGGGCACAAGCTGCTGTCCCTGTGGGTTCCCCTGTGTCCAGACCCTGCCAGCCGGTCACCCTCAGCCCAGCCAGGCCACCCTCCGGGCATCCATCTGGCCTCCTTCTCTCCCTGGCCATTTTCATGATGGAAATTTAAAGACACACAAACAACAGAGGGGGAGCAGGCCTCGGCGCCCCAGGGGACGGCTGTCCCACTGTCCTCCTCTCCAGCCCTCCTTTTCTGGGCAGTTCTAAAGCAAAGCCCAGGGCTGTGCTGACCGGGAAGCCCCAAGGCTGCCCTGGCAGCCGAGTCCCACGGACGGGGCGCCAGCTGCTCCCGGCAGCGTCTGACCAGGGGCCCGCAGGGCCTGACCCCTGCTTCTCAAGCCCCTTCCCTCCGCGCCTCCCTGGCCAGGGTCTGCGATTCCGTGGGGTCCCCCGCAGTGGTCAGCACGGGGGGGGGGCGGCGAGAGGCCGGTGAGTCTTG